GGACAGTGCTAACTGACCAGACATGTTGATCCTGCCTCATGCCATATGCCTGTCCTTCTCCTTCTATCTCCACTGCGGCTGCTTGCAGGAAGGGGAAATATGTCTCTTAAAAACCTAATGCCTGCCTTCTTCAGACCTATGCTTCCTGCCCCAGGTCGAGGAGAGCTGCTCTAATCAAGGGAGAGTTCACCACAGCAGAAGAGAGGAGACCAGGATAGTGAAGGCAGGTCACTCAACAGGCGTACACTAGTGAGGAATATAGCTTCCCCCGTTCTCCTGATCAAGAACAGGCACTGAAGCCAGGGAAATTCGGGAATGGGATGCATTTCCATCCTCTCCGTTCCTCCCCCTACTTATCTAAACTTATTTTTAATGGTTCAGTCAACTTTATTTTGAGTAATAGCTTTCTGCTGCAACTTAAAGACCCATACTTCAAGAAAACTGAACCCAGAAGGGAAGTCAACAGTGATAAGAGGATTGATACTTTGATATTTTCCATATGTAGCAAGAATATATATTAAAATAAACCGCCACAGATGATTTCACAAAGAGTTCAGGAGGCCTTTTAAACAATCTCATCCTTCAAACACTGAAGAGAAACACTCTGCAAGAAACCAACTCCACAGTAACTTAATAGAGGTTACTGTGCACAGGGGGCAAAAATCCATACTAAAACCACACGATACTGTAGCATTTACTTCAATTACTGCCAATAGCATTTTAAGCTGTGTTATAAACTATGAAGTCTATGATATGAAAACTCATCCTTGCTCCTGAACCATCCCTCTCCGACCTGTGTAATTCCTAATATTGTAAGCATTTCAGGGTACACTGTCTATCTGTTTCTGTCCTTTACACTTCTTACACTTTTAAAGCAAATGGTGCCATATTTACCACATATGAGCTATTCTCTTCTCATTCAAATGCTGCAGAAATATTTGTTCATCTTATACCAAATGTCAAACAATCCCTTGCTATAATCAAGACCAAAAAAAAGTCAAGCTACAAGCAGCAGCCACTAGGATAAAAACAAAATATTGCCTGCTTAGAGAAATAAATGAAGAGAACCCAGAAAAGCTATCTAAAAGTGGGACTACAGAAGAGTGTGTCATGGAATGACACCCAAGGAAGTGGGTGCATTCTAAATCTATAGTAGATGCATCAAGGAATAAAATTAGCACAGTTTTCTAATTAGACTAGCTTGCTATGATACTGAACAGCAGAGCCCGAGTCCTGAAGTGACACAACTGTGTTGTGTCCAATGTCTGAAATTTCTCATTTTGTGTATGTTCAGGTATGACTGGACAAGATGGTATGAATGTATAAACATACCTCAGAAAAAAACAGCTGATTCTCAACTTTTAGCCAGCATTTGACAGATCTAGAAAAGACTTTCTTCTAGTGTTCTTCTCACATTATACAGATTTGCAAACTTCCTTCAAGGAAGCTTTTGTTTTCAAAGATATATTTGGAAATTACATAAAGCGCTACAGAGATGAATGCATTTGGAAAAAAACACAAAGAGAGCCCACTTGACCTGGGCTATTCTCTAATTATGTGTCTGACTGCACACTAATAATACAGTTTACTGCAAAGTTTGTTCTAAAGAAAGAAAGGAAGGACATAAACCAATTTTGCATATAAGGGTTTGAAGCTTTTTTTTCTAAATACACTGGGTGATGCTTTCTAACAAAAGATCAAAATATTGAATGAACTTATTACAGCTACAGTGGTCTGTACTGTTGAAAATTTTTCTAATTATAGCCAGCTCTGGAAGCAAATTTTCTGATGAAAACAAGGTGCATAGACATCAAAGGATTAAATGGGGACTTGGAGTAAAGGAAACAGTAGAGCAATCTCATAAAGACAGACAGATATATGAATGAAGTGGATGTGATTTTAAGCAAAGTGTTTCCCCTCTTTGACCTTCCAAAAGGAAAAAAAATAGAAAAAAAGCCCCAATCACAGTAAATCCTGTGAAACTTGAGGCAATCAGGACTCAATATTATTCAAGTAACTGGACAAATCTGACAATCAGGTAAGGGATGGAACTATGTCCTTTCACTTACACCCCCTTTTGGCACAATGAGGTGGAGAAATAATCTGTCTGAATCCCATTTAACTGCTTCTTCCTTAAATTTCTTAATTTTACCCCTTTGAACAACAGAAACCACACCTCAAAATTGCTACAACAACAAAAAAAATCAGGGCAGGCTTATTTGGGAGAGGTGGCTTTCCTTCACTTCTCTGAGAGCCTAGTAACCAATTGACCTACATACTGTAAAAATGACAGCATTGCTGTTTCACTCTCCTGCTTCCAGCTGCTTCAGTCCCCATACTTTGCACAGTAAGGATGAAACAGAAGCCTGAACTTTACACTTCACTGTTTTTGTTGGCCTGAATGTACTTTTCTGCAGTATTTAAAAATCTTTATATGTTTTTATAAAAGCCCTTCAATGTATTTTTGAGGCTTACAATACTTGTGTGAAGTTATGGGATACTAAGTCGATGTAAAGATGTGATTCATTCCCTTTGTGCTTAAGATCATGCTGCTTATGCAACACAGCATGAAACAATGTGTCTGGGAAAGACATTAAAGTGGAAATCAAGCTGATTTTTTTCTATAGGCAGAGTCCACCCCTACCAATCCTTTTTACTCACTTGTACCACCAGACTGTAAGCTGCACAGTGAATAGTAACATCAGAGCTTAAGTGTGAGCCTCATCAAAGGCCAATGTGCTATCCCTGTAACACAAGTGTCCAGTGGGGAAAACTATCACATGTATTTCTCAAAGAACTTTCCCCCCCATTTTATTACACAAGCCCCATAAGATGATAGCCTCAGTTTTCAGAGCATCTCAGTGGAGAAAAATTTAGAAAGGCTTATACATTGTCCATTTTTCAGCAGTAAAATTGTTGCATGGGCAAAACGCCTTGAATACACGCTGAAGCTCTAATATTCCCAAAATATTTCCATCTATTCTGTCAGGGCAGGGATTTATACAGATATGGGTTGGCTGGATTACTGACATTCTGTAAAACAGCAGGGGAGGTGGAAAGAAAATATAAAATGGGTGCAACAGATACAGGGTGCACAGCAAGAAGAGAGAACGATAGATGACTGTAGGGCATCTCTACCTTAGGCTGAACTTTTTTCTGGAGAGAAGAATCAAAACAGGAACTTCCAGCCATTTAAAAGAATGAAGCTGAGGTTCTGTTGCAAAAAAACAGCATTCAAACATTTTCTAAAGAAACTTAAGTAGCACGGGCACAGGATCTGAAACCTGACAAGGGTTTCCTTGGAGCCAGAGAAGTCTGTTTGGCTGCTCAGATTTAAACCCACCCACTTTTGGATAGCCAGGAAGGCCTTGAGAAATCATTTGTATAACCTTCTTGGCAATACGTCCCTCCAAATGTTCTGCCAGCACAGGGGTACCCCAGCACCTCCAGTGCTCCCAGGGGTCCAAGCCCCTCCTGATAGCCCGCAATGCTGTGATGTTACCTTGCAGAGAACTGCAGTAACAGTCTCCAAGGCATGGAAAAAGAGTCACTAACTCTGGCAGACATAGGATTGAAACTTGGACCACACTGTCCTTTGTTAGGTTATCTAAGGGCTAAGCAAATTAGCCCCAAAGCCTCAACAAGGATTAGAGGAACAATGATAGGTGGAGAAACCCTCTGTAAAGTAATCACTGGAAAAACCTAATCAGTGAAAATTAAGAGCACACTGAATTGCCTGTTTCCTATGACAATCCAAGGGGAAGATGAGACCATTGTCCTTGGTGTGAAATGCACCAAGGTCGGTCAATGGGGAAGCTCTTTGATCAGAAAAACTTTGCAAATGAAAGGAAGTGATTTTGTACAGCAGCACAGAACTCTGTGGGATGTATGAAAAAGCAGATTTTGGGATCGTGTGAACCTTATGATGGGATTTTCAAAGAGGACTGTGGGAACGTGAAAAGACTGTTTAGTGGAAGGAGCGAAGATGGAAAAAGAATGTGGATTGAAAAGTGGATTGAAAAGGAACAAGTGTGGGAAGAAAATGAGAGAATAGAGGAAGAAGGGGTCAGCTGTGCGTAAAGGCGTCTGGCCAGTCAGTAGGCTGGGTAACTGAGCTATGAGCTTGAGGATCTCTCTGTTCTTATTAAATCTGGTTTCTGACTGCTCTCTGCTCTAAATGTGTGCATATGAGGACAGAGAGTGCGAGAAAAGGGCTGTGCCCTGCAGCTGTAGTGAGTTGCGAACCTCAGGGGCTTGTGGACTCTGGTGCCATCATCTGGAGCAGGACAGAAGCCCTGGGGGCTGCTCCTGAATAGACTGAGGACCTGGGGCCAGCAGCAGCAGCAGCGACCCATGTACTGTGTGTGCCATATTGGACTGGCAGACTGCAACCTGGTCATCAGGGGAGAAGGAAGAGGACTGGGTCACCTGTGCCTTTGTGTTCACCTGAGAGCTGCACTGTGCAGGAGGGTGCAGGTAAGGGCAGTGCTTCCTCTCTGTGTTGACCTGGCTGGGCTGGCCAGATGTGTGGGATGAGTATGGACATGCTAGGTATCACATCCTTCTCATTCAGACAGTGAATGCTTCAGGGAGCCACAACTTGGTGCAATACCCATGACCGTGAGACAGCAACTCTACCTCCTTTTATCTGACCAACAGGATGAATATTGTGACTGTGAGATCTTTGGAGAAGTCTCCCAGAATAACTGGTGAGTGTTCCATCTGCATACATACTTTTCTGTTAAACATGAAAGTATCAGATGTATCATTCAATGCACTAAGTAATGATCATTACCAGCAAGTACCCTGCTCCCTGATTAGACAAGCCACAGATTGCTTGTTCTCTCCAGTTTTTATGATTTTAAACCAAGGCAAGTTCCTTTCCAAGTATTTCAGATAACTTTGTTTCAATGTTCTCAATGTTCTTCTTGTTTTAAACCCAACTCTGATGCAGAATGGATTCATTTAAAAAAAAAAAAAAAAAGAAAGAAAAATCTTACCTCCAAACTGTAGAGATATTTGAAACTGTTTTTTTGATTGGCTGCCTTTTCCACAGCTTGAGCTAATTTTACTGCTCCTCTACCACCAGCTGACCAGTGATTGCAGGGTACAGCATCAAATGCTCCAGACTCCTTTGCAATCTTACACACCAGATCAACCTCAGCTGGAGAGTCAGTTCTGCCAACCAAACAGCCACATCTCATTATTTTGTTCGATAAGTTTTCTTTTACAACCTTATAAACTTAGCCTTATTTTACCATCAGCAGTGGTAAAGAAGGTATAGAAATTGTGAAATATACATAATGAAGTTATATGCAACATATGCATTTACACGCTTCAAGAAAATTTTGTAATTGTTATAGCTAATTAATGTGGAAGATTATCAGCTCCATAATAGCATATACTTTTTCTTGTTGGTTTTAAAGCCTCAAGAACAAGCTAAGAACTTAAATATTTTTATATCCATGATGAAGAAAGGAAATTCTTTAAGAGCTTCTTTGTTCATGCCAAATTGAATAATTTAAAAACCAAGAAAATGAGGAATTTGAACTGTGTATTACTCACAAGAGTAATGAAAGAACAGACTTACTTGAAGACGTTCAGAGCAACCACAACAGGAACTCCAAAGAGCTGAGTAATTTGAATCTGTTTCTGTAGATTACAGCAGCCATCAGCTACCAGCTGGAGGTTCTGTGTAATTAAATAAAATATAATGGAAATGGTAAGATACATAAAGTCTTCTCCAGCCAAAGAATTTTCCATAAATTTAAGTGAACATAAACAGGGCTGATCATGACAATTGCAGGCAAGTGAAATTCTTCCAGACAAAAGTATTCTGGCACTTATTAATTCTCATTCTAATTAATAAGCATCAGACATTTTAAAGTAACTAAGCAGTGTCCAGAATTTGTACATGAGCCTATTGCTTTCTTCTGAGACACAGGAAGATGGTGCAGCTGATGACTGGTTGCTGTCATGATTGTGAAAGGGATGTTAGTCTGCTGTTTGCAAAGTTTATAAACAGACTGCAGTAGTGGGGTGGGGCTTGACACACAGATGTGTTAGATGCAGAGTTCATATATACACATACATAACCCAGATAAAAGCACAATAATTTCCTTATTTACTCTTTTACCTCACACTTTGTAGGCCTTGTCTTTGTTGTAACAAAACACATATCCTTAGCATCACACAAGCAGAAGACCAGAATTTATATGGAGTGAAGTGACAAAGAAAACAAACCAGCAGAATTCACTCTTTGCTTGAAGAGTGGCATCCCACCCCAAATGCGAAGCATAAACATATTGAACTTGTTTAATTAACAGGTTATGCTATCATTAATTTCAGGGAGTGTCCTTGACCCCTGAACCACTCTGCTCTTGTGCTTTTATAAATGCCTGTATGTTGATCAGTCTGAAAACCTAGCAGTCCTGGAAAAACCATTGAAAGAAGGTTATTTTTCAGCCAATTCAGTTCCTTATTACGATCCATCATGCAGTCACACACATCATACACCTAAGAGGGGTAACACAAAGGGGCTGAGGGAAGATGAGGTGGTTTTATTTGTTGGCAATGACTGTTGGAGATGTTCACTGAATGTCAGCATTAGAGCATGCTATTGTCAAACCTGAGGCTGCACACTGTCCAGCCAGAGCAAGGAGAAGTTCTGATTCTCTGTACACCATATTATTTGGTTCCTTTAAACAAAAAACCTCTTTAAAATTTTATAACAGTTCCTCTTACCTCTTCTGTGTATTCTTTCTTCAAGGGGGCACCAGCAGTCACCTGGGATCAGGTAATAATAAACAAAGTCATCACAGATTGATACTTGTCATAACCCTAAAGGGTCTGAAGTGCAATTTTGCTTGCTTTCTGTACTGCCAGGTAACCCATACCAGTGCACACAGCATCATAGCCTGACTGCAGCTTGTGTTTGATCCCAAGCTGCACCAGCACACAAACGATAGCAACGCTTCCTATTGTGTTTGGGTAGCCAGACACAGGTAGTGCCTCAGCAATTAGTTGCAAAAGACTACTAGGGGAGGCAGCTGGATCTCATTCTACATGTTGTTACAGCACACCAGCAGTGCAAAGACAATAGGCAGCAACTTCCAACAGCTGAAGAAATAACAGCAACACAGAAGAACATCATCTTTGATGTCCTTTAATTACTGCCCATGGCAAGGAACTGCATGCAAGTAATTTGTTGGAAAGCACAAAGGTATACATGCAAAGTGCATCACCAGGGTACTGGGGTACTGTACTGAATCTCCAAGGACAACATAATGTCAATCCCAGGCACCAAACTTACTCACTTTTGTCTCTAGCATTAGTCCTTTTTATAGTTAACCTCCCAGTAAAAGTGTCTGGTAGTCTATATGCCTCAGTGATGAATGCATCACATTTGTAAACAAATGAAACTTTTAAACTTCTAAGGAGACAAGTGAGACAGAAATAGAGACAGTTATTAAGACATATTTAAGTCCTATTTTTGCTAGATTGAGTGATAACACATGTGAAAATATACTTGCCTCGATAGGGATGGATAAATATAATTCGAAATAAAGAAAACATGCATTAGAAGTGATAGAAATTTATATCATTATATCAACCTGAAAGACTGAAAAAGGGTAGCTCAGCTTTAACTCTTAGAGAAGATTAGCTTAAAGGGAAACCATGCATTCTAAAATTTTGTGGCTGTGGAAACAGCTCTGGTATTTTCACCCAGTGCAACTGTTTCCCTGGCAGCATCACTCTCTAGAATGCTGCTGGGCAGATGAAAGTGTTCCAAGGACTTAAGTGTCTGTCTGCTTGGCTAGCAGGGTCTGATCTGATTGCACATTCAGGGAGCATTTCTACAACCAGTAATCTGTAAAATCTCTTTGTGGCTTAGACAGCAAAAAATGATACACTCGTGACTCTTGGTACACCAGGAAAACACTTGCAAAATTTCATCAGTTACTTCAGCATCCCTGAGGGAATTAATCTGAGCAAAATAAAAAGACAGAAGGGGTACCCATTACTGGAGTGAAAGAAATCTCAAAACCTTCATTACAATGTTCTCTGCTTCCACTCATACTGCAACTTGAACTCGTCTCATTCCTCCTCAGCTCTCAAATTTCCCAGCCTGTGATGACTTCAGTGCACTTACAAATGCTGTTTCAAAAGGCATGGAAAAGAATATCTATATATCTATATCTATCTCTTACAGTTTTGGTTTTTTTAGTGCAGCAAAACATCCCTTGCTCTGCAAGATACAGTACTTCTTCAGAGCTCTTTCCTCCCTCTTCTTTCATTTGTAGCCTAATTTTAGAGATAGCATTAACTTTAGTGATAATATCTACACAATGAGGTATCTCAGAAGGGTTATCTAAATACCGCCCCATAGACTACCCCAAATATTTCTTAAACCAAGGTATTTTACTTATTTCAAATATTAGCAACAATTTGATTTTTCCAAGAAAGGTGCAAAAACTTACATTTGGCCCACCTCCATGCATCTTCAAAGCCCTCACTGTAGCAACAAGTACAACCACACTGGGAACCAAGCCAGATGCTCTGCATTTGATGTTGAAGAATTTCTCCATCCCAATGTCAGCACCAAAGCCAGCTTCAGTTACTGTTAAACATTAACAAAACAAAACAAAACCACACATTAAACATGCTTTTGGTTAAACACTGGGGGATATTTCTACTTCAGCATACAGTGCACTTAAATACACACCAGTACTCAGTTTTGAATGAACTTTTAAACAGAGGTCTATTTACATTACTGAGTCTGATTAAAAACTTATTCCCAACTCAAAAATAAATTCTCTTATTCTTATATGTACAATATGCCATCAAAGGTAGTTACATGGGGGGAAAAAACCAAGCAATCTAAATTAGTTTGAACCACAGTATTTAAAAAATAACTAGCCCTCTAAATTCACCGTTTCTGTGCAATTATGTGTAAAATGATTGCAAATTCTCATACGTAAGACTTTCCTATATTACTCCTCCTCCTTTGATTTCACTGAAGATGTGCTTTCATCACAATCAATGGACCTAAATTCTCCTAGGTTTGCAGAACTTCTGGTGATCTGCTTTTTTGGAGAGGATCATGAGTAATAAACACAAACTAGCAGTTACAGTCACATTTCTGTGTTGAATATGCTGTTAAATAACAAATTTAATAATGGGATTTTGCACCAAAGAAGGCAGACATGAATGTAACATGACTCAAAAGAAAAATCTGTGCAGAATTAGGATGCCCCTGGCAAAGTATGTTTAGTGAAGCTACAAATAGAGAGAAGATAATCTATATTAAATACCAGTCTCTTCTGAGCAAATTTGTTCCAATTTATCCAATAGAAATTATTTCAATTGCTTCTTTTAAAATCCAAGTAACTTTTATTTGCCAAGGACTTGGCAAATAAAAAAATTAAAGGGATTAAATCTCCAGTTGGTTGAAAATTTACTGATGTAACGATTTTCCACCAGAACATATTAAAGAGCTGGGCTCAATGCACACCTCTCAAAGATGTGAAGGGACTGTTAGGCAGACAAGTCAGGGTGGGAAAACAGCTTGCTCTGGAGGTTTCTGGACCCATCTCCAAGCAGGGCTTGTAACGTGTTCTCACAGCCCAAATCAACTTGTAAAAACTCGTACATTCCCTTCTCTTTCCCTCTTGCCAGCAGTTTTGTCTCTCATACTTAGGAGGGGAAGGGACCACAAATGGCTGATTGAACATTTCAGGATTGGCAACCTTCAGCAGGGTCAAGGAGGAGGACATGCAGATCTGCTCTGTTGCTGTGGCAGAAAGCATCTCACTGTTGGCAGCCAGCGCACTTTAGGAAGTCCCAGCCTTTGTGCATTTGTCCTAACCCCACTGGTCCTTTTCCACCTCTTCTTCATTTTGCACAGGCTGAAACAATTGCCTGGATCTGCTCTGAGGGAGGAAATGGCTGCTGGGGCTGGGAGAGGAAGCAAGTAGCAGCAAACAAGGGGGTGGGCCTGCTGGGGGGAGCAGGGACCTCTTGAAATAGTAACATGGCAAGTGTCAAGATGTATGTTCTCCTCAATCATTGTAATAACTATATCATCTTTTTCTAAAGAGCCCTGAGAAAAACAGACATACCAAACATGGGAGAAAAAAAAAAAATAAAAATGTTTACACAAATGCAGTAATTCATAGGAGCAAAGCTAATGCCAGGATAAGTCACATTGAAAGCAGAGCCAGGGATCACATTTCTGCTTTCCAGTAACCCTCATTCCTCTTCTCCAGTCTCTTATGTGGCAGAGGGTGATTAATGGGAACCCTGAATTAGGAATATATAACCACAATCAATCTTTAATATAAACAACAGATAAACTACCAAGTGCTTGAGAGGGTGGGAAAATAATTTGTCTCTTACAGAGATTGCCAGCACATATACATAGCAGTCTCCTAACATTCCCAAACAAAGTTTCCAGGGAGTTAATCCATTTCATGCCAAGCCTTTCCAAGGGTCAGTTTCCCTCTGAGAAAGGGGGGATTGCAAGTCTGCCTTTCATTGGGAGAGAAGCAGAGATGTCAGCCTTCCACAGCAACTGCTCACAGAGCGAGCCACCCTTGGGGCAGTGCGTGCAGCCAGGGCTGGGCTCACTCCTCTGATCTCTGCAATCTTCCCTTTGATACGGACAACAAAATTCACATTTGCCTGAGCAACCCAAATACTGTATCAGAGTTCACCGGAGTGAGTGCTACAGCATGGAGACCGGGATTTCTTCACTGGAAGTGGAGGAAAGGGAGACAAACGTCAGTGCTTTCTCCAGTGTGCGGAAGGAAACAGGATGTAGTAGAAAAGCTGCCTGGATGAAAGTTGCAACTCCATTTCATTTCCTCCAAGGAATAGTAAGAAGATAGAATAACACGCCAAGCTATTATATTTTAGAATCTTTGTGCTGAAACACTTAATACAATTACTTTCAGATTGTTTCCTGCTTTCAAATGAAAGCGTAGATGAAAAACACAGACTGGGAAGTTTCAAACTACTCTACATTTAATGATCATGAGATAAACCAGCTAATCACTTTAAATGTAACAACAGAAATTGAAAGTAGTACATGGCAAGCTAATCACTTTGCATGTAACAAAAGAAAATTAAAGTAATACGAGGGTCTATTTATTTTGATAATTATTTCTCATACACAGTTTGTCAATAGAAGAGAATTACAGGCGAATTTACATAACGTTTTGGGCAACAGACAAGTACTTTAGTAGTTGTGTTCTGCTGTACTTCAGCTGAAGGAAAGCTTATGACACAAGCACTACTACCTGATTATCCATTTCTGCCCAGCATTCATTTCTTCCCCCCCAGATGCCCGTTTATCCCGTGCCCTGCCAAGCGATCATTTCCCAGCTCCATGAATCACGGCTACCCAGGCTGCTGCCTTGAAAGGGGGTTTGTGAGAGGTACCAGCATGGTGTTAACTGCTTGCTTTGATTTCCAGGCCACAAACACAGTTCTGATGTAGTTTTAATGGAAGTAAAGAGGGAGATGATTTGCCTTCAGCAAGCTCACAGAAAACACACAGGTATTTGCACTTCCAGGCTGAGAACACAACTCCATGGCAAACATATACTGACCTAGATCAGTGTTATTACAGTCCCAGGCCTTGTTTTGCCTTCTGGATCCTATGCTTGCACTGACAAGACTCAATGATGAGCTGGACAAGTGCTAAAAGATTCCCTTCTGGGTGCAATTTTCACTCAGTACACTTCTCTTGACTCTGACTGTGTGGTCATATAAAGAGCAAAACCTAAAGTGCAAACCTGTTGTTTGATTTTATGCTTCAGTTTTAGAGCCTAAGCATGATAAACAACATTGGAATGAGGATTAAAAATTAAAATTTCATGTATCAGCAGTGCACTATCATTGCAGTACTGTTAAGAGTGGGCTATATGTGAAACCTAGCAATTAATTTACACGTGTATCAGAAATAAACTGCATCAAAATGGTCAAATAAGGTCAATTAATTTGTTTTCATAAAACATCCATGTGAGTGTGACCAAAAGCAGCTAATTTTAACACATCAGGGTAACTGTGGGATCTTGGTTCAAAAAGCCAGTAGGCAAAACACAATACACATTTACTACAAGCTTTTCTACAGATGATTTGTGTGACATCTACTTCACCCACTCCTGCTACCAAAATCATCAATAAACCATAGTTTTCTTTCAGAGCAAGAACCCAAAATATCAAAATTAGGAAAGGGGGAAAAGGGGAAGGAGAAGCCCATAGAGGTGAAATTACATAATAGAGGTAAGTCTGTTGGGTGGTGTAAAGTCAGAACAAACTCCTCACTGGAGTCTTTAATTCTGCTTCAGGGTTCAGATGAACAAATCACTCTGATGGTTTTGTTTCAGGTTTATAATTATCATAACCTCCTTCATGTAATTACTGCCTTACCAAGGACATCTGGGAATCACCTACATGTGACAATAGCTTAAATAGACAGTGTTGTGTGTTAAGCAGCTAATCAGATTTCACCATCATTCTTAATACAAAATGTAATTTTTCTCCATCTAAAAATACATCTATCTTGCTAAAGCTGCATAAAGTGGTTCCACATTAGTCTTACATTGATATAGTGCTTAAAAGCCTTGCAGAAAGTGATGTTTAGAATATTTTTCAAAAAGCTATTTCACCCACAATTGAACTTCATATGTACTGAGGGTAATTTCTAGTGAAAGTATCTTTTCCCTAGTCAGCCCTTTGTATCAACAAATCAATGTCAAAATAAAGCATTTGTACTATAAAGGGCCAAGTCAGATGCACACACACGAGGTGAAGCTTGAGGACGAATTGTGGATTCCTGGATTCCTGAACAATGTAAAAGGAAATGGAAACTCTGAGCTGCAAGTTGCCATTTACTCCCTACATGTAAACATATCTGTTCTGCTGCAGCTGTCTGCTGGTAAACTCAGGAAAGGAATAGCTCAAAGGCACAGAAGCACATGAACTGTGAACCTGGAACTAGAGATATGCTGGCTATAAAGTACTGACATGTTCTTTTTAAAGTGAAAAATACCAAGGTGTGCAATCGCCAAAATAAACCAGGATGATCAGTGATTTCTCTAACAGGATATCATACTTTTGTTAGTATAGCTAGGGATGAATAAGCCAGATGTTTGTCCATTCTGACTCTAGCAATTATTTGATGTGAACTTCCATTATTATGACGGATTTTGGAAAGTAACAAATACTTTTTTCTCCCCCTCCCCATCCCCCCAACAGAGGGAGTTTTCCTGTTCATTTTTCTTTCCACGCATTCTCAGATGTCATGGAACACAGGAACTCACTGCTACCACTGCTGAACACGACACATGAATATGTTAAGCCTGAACATTTTCCATGCCATGAGGAGAATACTTTGCATTGGTTGTCAAAATTTTATGTTGCTGTTGTGAAATCTAAAAGAAAAGGTGGTAGGAAAAATATTTTCCCTTAAGTTTAACTGACCATAAGCTAATTGGATGCAACCTGTACTTTCCATCTTTTGCTAAAGAAAGATGCCAGGGCAGTATTTGCCCTGCCGAGGTCAGGGCACTGGAGGGCACTGAGTGTTGACTCCCAATCCATGCTTTTGACGAA